CCAGAAGAAACAGATGCAGCTTATTCTTACCATACACATGATTGTATACTAGTTGCTGACTCCAGATACTACGCATACAAAAGGGTGCTTTCACAAAACCCAGCTCTGGTTGAGCTAAATAGAAGGAAGTTTACCATTTTAACCTCTGAGTAATACCTGTGAGCGAAGTAAAAGCACAGCCTGGCAAGCTGAGGCCTTTACTTCTGTTTTTCCTCATCTTGGTAAGTTCTTTAAAAATAAAGTCAGTCTCTTACATTTTTAAATACATGACAATTCTCCTCTCCTGTCCCTCCTTTCCCCACTTCTTTCTCTAAAGCAGCCAGGAGAAATTGAGAGAACTACAGAAGCTGCAAGGCCAAGCAGCTCACATGCAAGATAAGCATTTGGCTCTCACCCATCCCCCACCCCATTAAAAACAATCAGACAAGTATTAACATTTGGGCCTGGATATATTTCTTTGAATTGTCAGCACTGTCAGGTACTTGAATAAAACAATATCTCTATGCTACACCTTAGATAGCAAAACTGGCTGGTTCCACTGCATTGTTCCAAGTGCAAAGAGGATAAACAGCATCAAGTGAAAAACCAGGCCGCTGTTAGAAACCTGGAAGTGTTTGTTTGCGTATTGTGCTCCCCAGGGACATTCAATCATTGCTGGATCAGTGTTTTCCATGAAATCTTAGTGGAAGGAACTGGGTGGATGTGGATGTGTCAGAGGTATGAAAATGTGGAGTTCTCACGACAATGTCTAAATCAAAGTAAATCCCAAATGAATATTTGTCAGCTAAACAGAATTATGTTCACACATAAACCTAGTAGTAAACTCTTCAGTATATTTAGTATGCCCTTCTGACTATGAAATAAATGTGGAACAAAAAGCAGTTTTAATTAAGATTTAAAATAATGTTTGCTTGCTAAAAGGCTAGCAGGAAAAAAACTGTAGTACAACTTAACTCTAAGAAAAACTATCCATAATAACCTAGAATTATAACAATGTTGAGAGTGTATGACATTTTTCCATGGGAAATTCAGCCTACCAGAGGGGAAATTTATTCGTGGCTGACTTGGACACTATAGTATTTTCTCATGTCTTCTTCTAAGTCATGACTTCAGCATACAACCACTTCTCTTTTTTGCTTTTCTTTTTCTCCTCTAAATTGGATTTTGAGTAACAGTTACTGTGACACCATTGTCTAAATTGCTGCCCACCTGTAACAGCAATTTCTCATGTTGATTGAGCCAATTATTATCTATTCTGTAGCAAACACTGATGTAATGAATGTTCATCATGGTGAGGTCAGGCTGTGCTCCTCTAGAAGCAGTAACAGCTCAGCTGTTAATGACTGGGGCTCTACAGTCAATTCCTGCCTTCTCCAGTACCTAGAAAGGGATTAAACCACTCTGCAATCTACCTAAAACAGGGATGGGAGAAAGGGGTAAGTGGGTGAAGAAAAGGGCACATCACAGAAGATGATACCTCCTCCATCGTGTCAGGTATTTTAATAAAATGCATGAGAAAACATCTTTGAAAACTTGTCGTGGTTTAACTCCAACCAGCAACTAAGCACCACACAGCCGCTCGCTCACTCCTCCCCATGCCCAGTGCAATGGGGAGGAGAATCAAAAGGAAACTCATGGGTTGAGATAAAACCAGTTTAATAACTAAAATAAAATATAATAACAATAATAAAAATATAATAATAATTGTACTGAGAAGGTATATAGTAAAAAGAGAGAGGAAAACAAAACCCAAGAAAAGACAAGTGATGCACAAGGCAATTGCTCACCACCCACTGACCAATGCCCGAGCAGCCATCGGCCCCTCCTGGCCAGCTCCCCCCGGTTTATATACTGAGCATGACATCCTATGGTATGGAATATCCCTTTGTCTAGTTCGGATCAGCTCTCCTGGCCAGGCTCCCTCCCATCTTCTTGTGCACCCCCTTGCCAGCAGAGCATGGGAAACTGAGAAATCCTCAATTTAGGATAAGCGCTACTTAGCAACAGCTAAAACATCAGTGTGTTACCAACATTATTTTCACACTAAACCCAAAACACAGCACTGTACCAGCTACTCGGAAGAAAATTAACTCTATCCCAGATGAAACCAGGACAAAACTTTATCTCGGTCAAATGTGTCTGGGCACCTTCACCTAGCAGTGACCAATGCTAAAGAAAAGCTGGAAATAGCTGTAATAAATTACACTTCTTTTCACATTCAGACTGCACATTACTATCAGTCAACCCTATTGCTCAGTATTTTATGGTTAAGGTGATAACAAGTTACTCACAAATCAACAATACCAAAACCAGATTTAAGGCATTGCTAGGAACATCAACATTTCTAATCGCAGTATTAACTTGCACTCCAGTCAAATATGGACAACTGTAAAGGACAGAAAAGTTGAATAACCATAAATTAAGAATGTATGTTCTCATCCAAGGGAAATTCTTACAGGAGTGGAAAAAAGTTTCTTGTGAATCACAAATGACACAGCAACTCAGCTGACAGGCAGAACAGGTTCTGGTACTTACATACTTGGGACTGTTCTGTCTCTGTATTACCCATGCTCTCACTATCCCCAGTCCATAAGCCAAGTAACAACACTTATCTGGAAATATATGCAGACTAACAAAGCAGCTTTAATTTTAAAGAAAGTGAAACAGCACAGCTAGAGAAGTGTTTGGAAAACCCAAATCTCACTCCCCACAAACACAGGGCTTCTTGTGACTACCTTTGGGGATCCTGAAACTGTATCTCTTTTAATTATAGCCCTATTTCTATTTTCAGAATATTGCCCTGAGCAAAACCCCTCTAAGTGTTTGCAGAAATTTGCTAATAATCAGTAAAGAATCAAGTTCAACTTCAGGCTTCCAATAAGCTAGTTGTAAAACCACAAAAGAAACACGATTAGCTCTGCAAACATCTGAAAAGCTCTCTGAGTAAAAGTAAATATTGCTCTTTGATGGAGGTCTTTTGCACTGTAAGAAGAAAACAGTGTTATAGCAAGGCTGCCTGCAACCTTTGGAACCGAAAGAGAAACATCTGTAAAATTTATAGAAGGACGGACTACAGTGAACTTCAGCTAGAATAAATAGGTCAAAATTTGATACAAATGCCAGCTCAGTGTTTTCTGCAGTTTTGTATAACCTTAGACTGATTTGTAAGGGGCATATGAGAGGCAAACACACTCACATGCATGCAATACATTCACAGGCCCGTAACACCCGGGGCACACTTCAGCTTCGTAAAATCAGTTACAAATAAAGTTGGCAATAAGGAAGAAAGAAAATACTACAACAGCAGCAACGTTGTTAAGCTGCCTTGTTAGTGCTATTGCTTGTTCAATGCCTTTGGCTGAAAGAGGGGAAAAAGGACTTTTTAGATAACGTGTTTTTGCCCAATAGTGTTGCACTTCTCGCTTCACATCAAATCTATGCATTAAACTACATTTGGGAAAGAAGAGGGCGGAGAGAACGATCTGTGACGGCTGATGCAGTTTTAACGTCGCGAAGAGCCTGATTTTCCCTTTTAAGTAATTCAGGGATTAAAAAAAAAAAATTAAAAAAAAAATAAAAATTAAAAAGAGCTAAGAGGAAGTAGGCAACGAGGCTCCTCTTTCTCACCAGAACACAAACCCGAGGCGGTATCTCTGAGGGGGAAGCTGGCGGGACGGGCGGGAGCGCTGCCGAGCGGGCAGCGGGCTGGGCCGCGGCAGCTCCCCCGGCGCAGCGCGGCGGCGCTGAGGGGGCGGCCGCCCCCCGGGCCCCGCCGGCGGCCCCGCCGCCCCCCCCGGCAGCAGGTATTTACCGCGCCGCAGGACCGGCCCGGGCGGGCGGGGAGCGAGGATCGGCGAGCGGCGTTCCCCGGGCGCCGCGGCCCGCGGAGGGGGAACCGCGCGGTTACCGGCGGTCGCCTTACCGTATGAAGGTGGTCTTGCCGGTGCTGTACTGCCCCACCAGCAGCACCATGGGCTTGTTCTCGAAGTCAGCCTCCTCCAAGGCGGGCGAGTGGAAGTCATGGAAGCGGTAGTGTTCCTCCAGCGGCAGCAGCTTGCGGAGGTAGAGGTCCCGCAGCCCGCCGGTCACCGTCTGCACCACGTCGCCGCCGCCACCGCCGCGCTCCCGCCCGCCGCCCTGCTTCCCCAGCCAGCTGAACATCCTCGCCGCCGCCGCTGCTCCGCCGCCGCCGCCGCCGCCTTCCCGCCGCTGCTCCGCCGGGGGGGGGGGGGGCAGAGCCGGCCCAGAGCCGGCCCCGGCGCGGGGGCGGTGCTGGCCGCGGCCGCGCAGCGCCTGGCTCCCTGCGAGACACACCCTCCGCCTCGCGTGGGGTTGGGTTGTGGGGGGGCTGTCCCTTATTTTTTCACTTTTTTTTTTTTTTTTTTTTTTCTGAGGGGGATGTTGTTATTTTTTTCAGAATCAGAGGATTTTCTTTTCTTTTTTTTTGAGTGGGGGCACCCACAAGAGTGCCTCTGGAGGTTAATTGTACCTGCTGCTTCTTCCACTCTAAAATTTCAGCCCCTGGAAGCGAAACCCTGTGACAGCTCCGCTCCGAGCGTTGAATCGCCCAAATGCTTTTCGTGTTTTTCTGATGATGGTTGCCGCCTTCGGATGCCAAGGGAGCGCGCCACTAAGCGCCCTGGGGGTTCGCTACGACGTTAGGCAACTGACTGAAGCAGCAGTGTAGCACAAAAATTTTGCTGTGGGACGTGTGTAGCAGATGGAGCCATTAGTTTTAACCTCAGGCCTCCATACCGTGTTAAACCCCGTGGGAGGATCGCCTTTCCCTTTGATTTTACAGGAGATTTAAATTGAATGCTATACTGTATTATGTGAAACACTGAAGAAAACAGTAGCATGATTTTTTTTTTTTCTCTGACATCAAAGTTTGTGCTCACTCACAACTTTGAAAACAAAACCTGAGGCTCTCAGTTAAAGAAAAAAAGGAGGGGAGGGATTTTTTTCACTGAGTATGTGGATAAACTATGTTAGAAGTGTATCTTTCATGTTCCGTATTTATGGCCATGGCTCCTTTGCAGCATCCTTATCATTTAAATCATTTAAATCCCTTTTTGCTGGTCCAGCACACCTACTGATTCATATTTTTAGCTATGTACCTTTCTTCCTCCTAATTTCCATCTTGACTATTACCTTTTCTCTACGTCAGCAGGTTTAGCAGTGCCCTTTCTCCCCCCTCCCCATGCTGTTCCTCAAAGGGCTTTAATCATTCTTAGTCCTGAGCATTTAACCACTCTGCATTTTCTTGGTTCTTTGCTTTGCATGTTATTTAGGGCTGTACACGTGTTTTGCAACTCTCTTGTTGCAACTTCCATGCTGAGTCTGAAGATTTTATACCATTTCGTGTAGGGTCTTGGTGACTGGCTTCCTCATTTTTTAAAATCCCCTTTATATAGATTAGTATTGTATTCCTCTCATTTTTGTGATTTTTCCCTGTAGGTTAATCCATAGGTGATCAAATTATCCCTGCAGTTACTTACATCTTCTCCATGTTACTTAAGAATTTTCTTTTAAACGAGTGTTGTATCACCACATCTTTAGGAGTTCTGACTACTCCTAATCATTTATTGTCTGCAAAAATATCTGAGCTGTGGAAAACCTAAGCACTGCCAATGGGGGTGAGACCTCTTTCCCACTTGTCCTTGATGTGCCCAGTATTTAGTGACTGGAAAACATCACAGAAAGAGAGCAGGTACAGTATTGTCTCAGACTGTCCGCCCAGCCTCTGGGATTTGATGATTCAGTGCAGGGCTGAGGAAGATGTGAAGCCTTTGTATTTTTTAGCCCTTAAAATATTTCCAGTGAATGCATCCATCAGTTTTTCTGAACTCATAAACGTTTATCAGCAACAACATCTGGGGTGAAAGAGGCCTGTAACTCACTTGTATGTTGTGTGCAGAACTACCTTACTTTGTTAACTTTGAACCTGCCGCTTGCTAGTTTTGTCTGATCCAAGTCTTGTGTTAGAAGAGGTGCACAGTCACTCCCTGTTCATCTCCCACAGGGCACTCCAGATTTCATAGGTCTCTCTCTTTTCTGCCTTTTGCTCCTGTTGTCCTTTTTCTAGGTTGCAGACTCCTTATCCACCCCTTGTGTGGAAGCTCTTCCACCTCTTTGATCAGCCCTGGCATTTTCCTCTGTATTCTTGTTGAGAAGAAGGAACTCAGAGATACCGAATAATTATTTCTGTTCCACTGTATGCTTTTTGAAATGGGGTAAAGCATTCATTGTTCTCTGTGACCCCTTCGTGGCTGCTGGCAAGCTGCAGGAAGGGCAGGGAAGCGTTTGCACTCACACACCTCGTTCTGCTTGTCTTTTGACTTCCTGCTGTCAGTGGGATAATTTTTGCCCTTCAGACAATAAAGCTCTAACTGTATATGGGAACCTGGGCGTCCTTCCAAATTCCCAGGTCTGGCTGTGCCCTCTGGTTAGACCCCGTCCCATATTGCGATGAGATCCGGCATGCGTCAACACGACTGCCGTCTTTGCGCTCTCGTTTCTGTGGGGCGTACAGCCCGCACGGGAGCTGTATGGGCTCCTGTAGTGTGCACCACAGGTAAGTGTTCACTGGCCAAACTGGGAAACCGAAGGATTATGTTTCTGTGCACCACCTAGGAGGGGACCCTCAGCCTTGAGGGCAAAGGGATTTGTAAGGCTTCCATTTTTGGCCCACAATAACAGGATCTCTTGACAAAAGACACTACAGCAGATCTGAGGAGGGGGGAGGCCTATAAGAAAAAATGGGCTGGTAGGTACAAGACATCTAATAAATAAATCAATAGCACTGAATACAAGTTAACATAGAAAAAGAATAAATAGAGATCTGGAATTCCATCTGTCAAAAAGACAGACCGCTTGCTTGAAAGGAGCCATATGAATGTCACGACCAAAGCACCAGGAGGTTGAAAATTAACGTTCTGTTAACTTCAGTTGTAATATTCTACACCAAGTTTAAAAATCACTTTTGGGTGAGTGATATTAGGTATACAATTTTAGATCTGGTCTGTCTGCGTTTCTTGTGTCTTGTCAGATGTAACATTCTCAAAAACTTTAAGGCTTTAAACCTTTGGTATATATCAGTAGCATTTAAATCCAGCTTAATAAAATAAATTAGCATGAGTTAGTCCTTGTAGAGATGGCTCTTAAATGTAATACTAAACTCAAGGGGACCCAGGATCCTGGGGCAGTTCACATCTAGGTCTGGAGCAGGCATAATTTCTTCTTCAATTATTGTTCAGTACTTATGAAATAAACCTGGATGTTGTCTTTAATTGCCTTGCTAGTAGAGGATGAAGCACCTAAAAGAAATAGCTTTAACATGTATTTGCTGTGAAAAATGTTTATTTGCTGTAATGACTCCAAAAAAGTGTTTTATTATACAAAGTTTAATATTTATTTACATTCACATAAAGACTCCTTATTTCATAACTAAGCTTCTTGATTTTGTTTTAGAGACAATGGATTTTGTGTTCTGCTGCATTTCTGGACTGACAACCCTCTCTTCTTATAGCACAGGTAGAGCACAAACACACCATAAATATCTTCACACTTCCTTCTCCATGCATTTCGGCCTTGGCCTGAAAAGTCATTTCTGCAGGCACGAGTGGAGCACAGCCTCACTTAGCCACACTCCCGAGGTTGTCAACGAGGGAAGCACATTAATTCATTAAGGAAGAACTCTGTTTTTTGTGTTTATTCCCTTCACTGACAGACAGGCTGTAGCATTTTCAATGACAAACAAAGTGCTATTCTTAGCATTCTTTAGCTTTTCTTCACTTCTTAATCAGATTCCTTTTTTTTTTTCTTCATTAACAGGATTCATAGTTATTTTATTTCATATTCCCTGGTGCTGAGCAGTCAACCAAATGGTGGGCTCTCTCGCTATCAGGCACACACACACCAACCCCACTGGATGGTTTTCGCAATGGTTGCTCTTTCTTATGCTGCTTTTTCCGCTCCACAGCAGTATACAAGGCCTGAAGAATCAAATCTTTATTGTTCTGGACATTGTAGTAACTCAGGTTCACCAGTTTGTCAAAATCTTCCTCTGAATAACTCAGATTGTTTATGTAATATGGACCACAGCTGTTGGCAACATCAACATCACCCTCTGCCATCTCTGAGAGACTGCGTTTCACACCTAAGGGACAAACAATGGCTCGGTTAATCAGCAAAAAGCAATTAGGGTCTGGGTATTTCTCAGGCATGCACACACAGGTGGATAACAACCCAAAATCTTCCCGCCACAGATGCTTTATTGCTGGGATATTTGGTTGACAGCAGAGGTGGAGAAGCTGGTGCTGGTGAGGGGAGTAGGGGTTGTCCTAGGTCCTCTTGGAAATGCCAAAACAAGTAGAGTAGCTCCTCTTTTGAGCACAGGAGTGTGAGTCTCCCTGCCCCCTCCTCTAGCTCTGGGGTGAGCCATCAGCATGGTCCCCAGGTCCCCCTCGGCGCTGATGGTCTCCCAGCCTTGGCCCACTTCTTGCTGCTGTCTCTCAGCCATTGCAGCACCCTACACTTCTAGCCAAGGTGCAAGTAAATGACAACTACTCCTCTTCTTCTCTTTCCTCCTCTTCTCCCAAAGCAGACAACTATAGCAAGGATCTCGTGACAGCATGGTTTCTTCCCGGGTGATGGTCCAGAAGCCACTGCCACTTTCTTTGCCTTCTGTCTTCAACCCTACATCGTTTTATTTTCCTCACTACCGTGCTTTCATGCTTTCAGAAATAGGCTGCTGAAAATCCATGTATTTTGGTGGTTCAAGCTTTCCAAAAGCACACCTGCCTTCTCAGCAATCTGACAGATGTTCTTTCACCCATCACAACCTAGTACATCCCCTGGCACAATCTGCTACATCAACTCTTACTTCCTACTGGGAAGAATTATCAAAAAATGCAGAAAACAGACTTAAAAACCTAGATTCTACTATATAAACTGAAAGACTTCACAGAGCCATTATCCAGATATATCCCAGAAGCAGATGGCACAAATATTTACTGTAATTTCACTGAGCTACATACTACTATAAAAATCTACAGATTTTATATAACCTCAGCAGTGAGAGTGAAGCTGATATTCCCTGAATCACTAATATTTGGCAGGAATACTGAAAGAACTTTTCATGCCCATTTCATCATCCCATGATAATTAACATATGCATCACAGATCCAGGCAAAATAATTAAGCAGGTAGTCCCACAGGTGTCATCTCTAGAAATACTAGATTCATCATATCTTCTGATCTGAAGACAGATTAACTTATTTGGTTTAATTCATTTGATAGTAGAAAACAGATCCAAAGTTAATGCAGAAGTTTATTTGCAGGCTATCACAGAAAAAATATTAATAGGGACCTCCACAGTAGGTTGCTGGTACAGGGAGAAAAATACCTGAGGCTTACCATGGGAATTGAAAATCTCAACAGATTTATGGATGCAGAAGATGTAAAACACATCTCCTGACTTGTTTTTCTAGGACCTTCGTAAGTCACCTGTGATTCAAAATAACAGCTGCTCTCGGCTTGGTCCTGGCCATCTGCTCTAGACAGTGACACCATGAGCGTTTTTCATTTAGCTGCTCCTTTGGACACATGGCCACTTACTGAGTTGGTGGAAATACATCTGAACGCTAAACTCAGTAGATGCAACATGCACCGTCTGAGCTGAGGGTGTGTTTAAGTGATGTACTCAAAGCACAGTAAGAAAACTTGCTCTTTCTGAGCTCAGTAAAAGTGAGCACTCCCTTCCTGCACTCGGACCGTGTAAGAAGCCCACTTGGCCATATCAGTTTTGGCTCGACTCTGCACTGCTGGGACACAGCACATGGACAGGCTGAACTTATAGCTGCCTGTTAGTACATAGAAGAAACAGGGTCTCAGAAGGGAAAAGGTCAGTTCATTTGGTTACATTCTGCAGATTCCTGTGCTCCAGTATATGCCTTTGACTGCTAAAGGACAGCTGGGGCTCTCAGCCCTGGGCCAGAGACCTGAAGATGCAGAGATCCACTGCTGTGCACTAGCCTGTACGCCTGACATGAGGGCTCACGCATGTGTTTTCCTTCCCCGTCATTACCACAGACCCCTCAGTTTTCTAATAGCTGGCATGAGGGAAAGAGAGCAGTAACAACCCCAAAAGGGGCACTAATGGTAGATAATACCGTCGGGGATAGGTAACACAGGTGAACACAGGCAGGAATTAAAACACTTCATTCCCCCTCGTCACAGATAAGAGAGCATCAGAGAAGGGAGAATTTTTCCATCAGCCTCCATTGAGACCATCATATTGGCAGGAGGTTGTTACTGTAGCAAAAAATCCGCCTCCATGGTCACAGATACCAGCAGCACCTGTACCAAAGCAGGCCAGTAAGCTTTGTGAAAAGTCTGCATCTCTCTTACTGACAGGACCACGTTTATTTGGGGGATCTTCTCTAACAACAAACACTGATCAAAGGGTCCTGATTTTCCTGGAGGGGTCTCTCCAAGTTTGACAGATGTTCTCCTCCCGACTTTGCAGAGAGTTTTAGGCTACTGGTACTGCTTGAGTGAAGCAGTCTGAGCCGCCTCACACAGAGGATTTCCCCTTTCCACTCCACTTGTGGAATAGTCTAGCCGGTGCAGGAGTAACTCAGTTTGAATATGTCAGTATTGTTCATTTACTATCCAGGCTCTAAATTCCCTTCACTGAAAAAGCTGATGGATGAGCTAGCTATGGAAAAACTGCATGTTCGTGTAGCTGAACTAATACTTCAGGTGCTGTACAATCTGGATCTGGGCGAGGGCATGGTACTGAAACGCTATAAATTAGGCTGACCTCTGCCTGTTGCTAGCAAAGGGCAGACATTCATCTCCAGCCTTCAGGTCTTTCTGCAGCATCTGTCCTGCCACGGTGGAGGTTGGCTGTCAGCTAAGAGGTGGCAGCCCTCCAAAAAACTGCAGGGGCTGAGCCCTTCCATGTCAGCTCAGCTGAGACTTCACCTGTGGAGGCCCAACAAGGACCCATTCTCTGTTTTCTGTGTAGTCTCAGCTTGCAGCTACCAGCTGAACCGGTCAGGCAGCGTGGGCTTGCCTCAATATGCAGATATTATGCAGGTATTCTTATACATCTTCTACATACCTAGTAACACCTCTTTTAGATTCCCTGATGATTTATGTTGACATGTAGCATCTGCACATCATCTGATGTTCACCTGATATTAGATAGCTGAGTTAGGAATAACATCCCAGGGATCTGGAAGTTATTGAAAGGGAGAGCAGAGATAAACTCCCTCACAGAGCACTACAGAAACTAATTCTCAGTTGCTGTTCTAGTTCTTTTTCCATTTCTCCTTTTTCTAGTTCTTTCTACAAAGGGCAATGACAAAAAACAACCTTTCAGTTATCTAATCTGTGTGACGAGCTGGAGTAGAATAGTGTGTCTACCTGCATAAATACCCTTGGACTATTTGAATCCTGTTCAGAACCACAGCTGCATACCTCAAAAGTGAAATGAACTCTACCCAGAATATCTACAAGGCAAAAGTACTGTATGACTTTTAATGACTTGTTTTTAAAAAAAGAAAAATAAATTAATACAATTGGGACAGTAGTTTCTGCACTTGTTCTGTTATTGAATTTAATGTACCGTATACAAGCCCAGAACTTTTGGTTTTCAGTATACTGTGGGGCCTTGAAGTGTTTTAAAAATAAGCATTCTCATAGCATGGGTTAGGAATTTTATCATCTGGAGAAGTAACTGAGACTTTTGGAACCATCAGAGATAGTATGGAGTCGTGGAATATGGTACCAGGACTTAGAAACCATCTGGTTTGAAGTGAACAGCAATGTTCCTATTGAAACTCTTCTTAAATTTCAAAGTAGGACTCACTGAAGTGAACAGAAGCTGTCGGCATGGCTGTTACATTTTCATCATTTTGCTAGTTCACACTTTTCTTTTCAAGGATATCTGCTTAACCATAAGCCTGGACATGATTTTAAACAATGAAACCCTTACATTCCCCAGAGCATTCTCTAACAGGAAAGGATGACAAGTATGAGGAGAGGAAACGACTCTGCTAACTTCTGCCACTGCAGATAAACAGAATATACTTTTAATCAGTAAACTCTACAGTCTACCTATGAAAAGCCCCCCAAAAATCTGAAGAGGGGTATATGTGTCAGAGGCTGCTGCTCTACTGTCCAGGAAAGCTTCTTTTTTATTTAATTCTTTTTTATTTTAAGCTTCTTGATATGGTTCAGATCTAAGCAAAGGCAGTCTGAATCTGTGTTTACATGATGATCTGAAGAGCAGATATTGCACAGTAAAAAAGAGAAAGAAGGCAGCCACTGCCTCTGTTAACATGAATGGTAGCTGTCGACTTACCAGGTGCTTTGTAGTACCGGAAGGTGTCATTTACTAGAGGGAAAAATATCACAATAGGCGTTTCTGGGCTCTCCTTGTCACCAACAATGTAGCATTCCTTTAGATGCGGAGTTTCCTGATCATCTGGCACCTTTGTAGGGAAAGGAATTCCCTGTTTTGCAAAGTATTTAGAGGCTTCTTTCAGGGGCTGGTTGCCACAATAGGAAAACAAACCAAAAGAAAACATCAGAACATGTGGGAAGCACTTGGACTGAATTTGGCCAAAACCCAATTTCACTGGGAATGTTTGTGGGGTAAGGGCCAAGTTCTGACAGATTATGGCATGTACCCAACTTAGGTGTTGTAGACTGTATATGGAGCCAAGATCTGGAAGGCCAGAGTTAAATGGGATGGATGTGAGTCCACATGCCTGTCTTTGAAAATCTACATCTGACATTTGGGTATTAAAGATAATGCCTTTAGAGGACTTTTTATTTCAAATGTGTATAAAGTTCCTAAATACAAACTTTGCTTGCACTTATTTGCATCTCTGGCCTTCGTCATCAAGACCTTCTATTGTTATGTTCGTGTTGTCCTGAATGTACATTTTCCCATGCGTAAGAATATGTATGATTGAATTGAGAAGTCACAGACAATTTTAAAATACATTTAGCTTCATTCATTTAACATCTGACTGCCTTCAAATCAGCTAAAACACATTTACACATAAAAATGGGCATATTTAATTTACTTAACTCTTACTTCCTGATAACACTTGTACTGTTCAACAAAGATATGTGGCCCTGGTAAATTGTTAGCTTATTTACACTTGTCAGATACTGGGGAAAAAAAAAAGCTTCAATGAGTAGAGGATAAGGCATTCTAGGAAGTCAGTGATGAAACAGATATAACAAGAAGAATGCACAAGGCTTACCCCTGTCTGGGAACCTGAGCTGTAGTTGAAATGCAAAATGACATCCACTTTCCTTTCTGGCCTCATAAGGGGTGGGTAACTGGTAGCAAAGGCAAATGCCGTGTCGATCAGGATGAGGTAATCTGTTGCCACTGTCAGGTGGTTGGGCTGAGTGTCAAGCTCGCAGTCTAGAAAAGAAGCATTTTTTTTTTCAGGGGTGGTGCTCAATACAAGAGATGTGCTGAGGAAAGTCAATTGCTAACAAAAAGAGAATTCAGCTTTTCTTGGGTCTTAGACCTACCTATAAAGCTGATAGCTGCAGTTCAGTCATTTCTCAGTTCCTCATCTGGCTTCCTCTTTTCACTATTTACTCTGCAATTTCTTTGGCTTTTGTCTAATTAAGAGGGATTAACTTGGAATTCAGGAGTTAATTCCATCTCCTGGTTTTGTGTGTGACTCTGATCAGGTCGATTTTTTTTTTCTTAATCTTTTTTTAATACAGAAAAGGTTAAAATGGTACCTCATTGTCTCAACATACTAAAAATTAAAAATGTTTTGTGCCTTGCACGCTACAAGAACAGGCACACAGCTACTGAGGTACACAGCCGAGGCAGGTATAACCCCTTGTGCAACATGGCAGAGCTGCTACCAGACTGAGTACTAATTCCCAAACTGTGTAACAGGCAATATCTTACTTCTAAGCAAAACAGTAACGTGAAACAGAGCTCCCTTGCACACCCCTTGAGTACTGGCCAGGCAAGAGACTGCATACGATGACACCAGTGCTGTGCCACAAGCGTGGGGGCTGGCTGGCTGGCTGTCACATCAGCAGACATACTCTGGTTGACTAATCTGGGTCTTTCTCATCTATCGGTTGCCAATCTTCATGAAGTTTGTCAGAACTTATTTTTGAAGCCTCTTCTGCTAGCTAGTTTCATCGCTTGGTAACAAAAGGTTTCAAATATTATCAGAGGACAGGAACAGAATGAAAAGGCAGTCGGCTTGATAATCTTTTAAGAATTGTTTCTTCTTCACAAGGATGGTTTAAAATATAAAACTGGGTTGCTATTACCACACCTTTCCATTTGGAAAACTCGCTCTCTAGGTAGCTGTTGTTCATCTGGAGGCCCTTCAAGAAGTTATGGATTTCTGAAGCTGCTGGGCGTAACATGGCAACATCTCGGAAAATGTCTGAAAAGCTGTCAGTGGGACAAACCACTCGAGTATCCAGCTCATTTGGTCTTGCAGGGAATAGGGTTTCATCATCTGCAGAAGAAAGAATAACAGTTCTTATATGTGGTCTCATTGTTGAGGTTAATCTGTGCAATCATAGCCTGTTTTAACATGTTTGACAAAACTTGGACTTCTTTCTCTTTTTACTTCCAGGATCTCCACAAATCTCAGTTTTTCAGCTACTCTTTGAAAAAATCTTTCTTCTCCTCAGTCCACAGTGAAAAAGGCATTGTTTGTACTGTAAATTAATCTGTTGCATCTACTATAACTTCCTTTCCTTTTCTATGATTTTATCCACTACAATATCCTGCACTTATCCTGTCTTCCTTTGCTGCTCCATGTTACGGTTTCTCTCTCAGCCACACACATAAAAAAGCCACACAACCACAATCTCTTGGCCACACAAACATAATTAAGGTTCCTTACTAGCAAAGGCAAGCTCCATGTTTTAATAACCGGAAACTGCCCCCTACAAGTGGAAGAAGATAAAATAAATCACCCTTTTTGCTACATTTCTCTTCCTTCTCATCTTTTTTCTTTACAATACTTCTGTCTTGTGTGTTTCTCCTTGAAATCTCATCCTGTGGATCTTTCTTAATTTGGTAGTGTGTTTTGCAAATCTCATCCTTAGGACTAGTTTGGGTTGACTTGCTCCATGCTTTGTAGACTCCAGAGAGACAGGGATGGCGATTGCTCTTGTTTCTCTGTGAAGCCTCATCCCATACTCCAACTTCCAATAGAGCAGCTGGAAGACTGGAGATCACTAGGGGAGGCCTATCCTAGTTTGCAGTGATATTTTTCTCCAGTTTTACCCTTGTTCTCTGAAAATGGCTCATATGAGGGCCTTTCTGTCTTTTTTTTCCTTGTGATTGATCCCATGGATTATTTTCTCATACAACTGAAATGATTGCCATACTGCAATACATGGCATGAATTTCCTCCTGGTTTCCATGTGGATTACAGGAAACTCTGAAGAGGGTATTCCAAAATGGCTTTGAAAAATTCAGTGAGATAATAGAAGCACAGAAGGTAAAAGGAAAAACAAAAAAAAAAAAGAAAGAAAAAAGAGAGACAGCAAAATAACATAATGGTGTAAGAGTAACCCACCTATGTCAGCAATTTTGTCTCGGGTCCATTTGTGCCAGAAATCTTCTGAATTAACAGATATATACCAAGCATCCATCAGATTCAAGGAAAATACACTACTCCAGATCCCTGTGGCGTAGGATATATTTGACAGACAGTAAACTGTTAAAGACCTGGAAGTATTTTCACCCACAGAACCTTTCAGTACCGCCTGCATTCTCCATCAAACTTTATCCATTACATTATCTTAGTGCACAAATAAAAGAGAATGTCTTTATGAATTGGTATATGAATCCATAAAGTATCTAATTTTTTGGAGTATATGAAGAGGACTGATAGTACTTTCAGTATAGCTGCTAACATATTCATTTTTTTCATGTGGCAAGTAACATTTTGCCAAGTACATATTAATATTTTCCACCTGTCCTCAACTTAACCTTATTGCCCAAGTTCTCAGCATTTGTAATTCTAAAGGTTTTATTTTTTTCTAGAATAATCCTGTTACAGGTATGCAGTTATAATTCAGAATTGTCAACCACAAAACATTCAGGATTCATACACTAATAGCTCTTAGAATGAAGGAAGCTGACTTAAAGTTTTGAAAATAGAAAGTGTAAATGTATGAGTCTTTTGATTTTCCTTCTGATTTTTGAGGGTTTAAGGCACGTCTCAGTGAGATTTTCAAGTTCTTCTAGTACAGATGTAGCAAACCTGATGGCAGCCCAGACGGCCACCTCCCTGCAGCTGTCTTTTCAGGCCGATAAAACGCCGTTACCTGGTATGGTTGGCTGTGCCGGCCGTGCCGCGGCGCCTTGCTGAGCCCTCCCGAGCACAGAACTAAACCCGGAGCTCTTGGGAGGAACAGAGTGGTGGCCAGAAGAGGCTGGACACAAGCAGCCCGGTGACGGCCTGCCCCAGCAGTGCCAGCCCACGGCCAGAGAGACGGGCCCAGCCACGCAGGGAATTGGGGCAAGACCCGGGTAGTCAGCGGGGACACTGCCCACACTGCCCAGGGGCCGGGCTGCAAAGGAATTTGCTGAAAACCTTTTGAATAACTGTGTCACTGGAGTAAGTAAAACCACCTGAATGAGGGGACCCTGGCTTGTTGGCAGGGGACAGGGACAGAAACGTCCCAGCATTGCTCTAGAGAAGGGAGGAATAAAGTGCCAAGGTGGGAGGCGTAGGGAGGGGGCTGGTGACCTGCTGGCATTTCTGACCATGGAGGGGGAGACCTGGGTACCTTGTTTGACATTGCATCCAGGGACAGAGAGATTCTGATTTGCTTCTTCACACCTCACCACCAGCTGTAGTGAAATCTCCATACAAGCAGAAAGTCTTAACTTCTCAGAAAAAACCCTGAAACTTCATTGATGCAATTGGTGGAAGCAGGAAGAACAATGAGGCAAGAGATTGCTTTTGCAAAGGGAAAAAATATTTCCTTACTGCTTTTACTGTTCTTATGCAAGAGGGAAAAAAAGGTGAATATTATGACCTGTTTGCACTCTGAAATGGAAGCATTATCCTGGAGGATTAATCAGAGTTAGCTGTGGCAGGAACACCGTAGATCAAAGGCTGTATATTTTAGAGACTTGGGTTGCAGAAGAGACTGATAATTTAACTTAGCAGCAATGTTACACAACTTTTGTTGCTGACAAAGACATACAAGTATTGCGAAGGCCTCATGTCAGTAAGCATAACCACATAAGAAATCAAAGAAAGCTGTTCAGCTGAATAAAAATGCAGAGAAAATAAAAAATCCTGCAGATAGTGACCCATTATCAGTTCTAATATTTTAACATATACTGCTCCTGGCGGATAAAAAAAATATACTAACTGCTTCGTTTCAGAAGAGGGGTTTGTGCAGGAGTGGATTATATTATATTACACTGCATTTCCCCAGAATAACAAATCACCTTCCAAAAAGCAGATTCTGGATTCCGGGATTTTCTTCATCAGGCGACCCATGAAGAACTCACTACCAAAATCTTCTGCACGGATGAAGGTGCCATATTTCGGGAATCCTACCTCGTAAGGGGTGAATTCCACCCATTCTGAAAGAAAAAAGCACAAGGCAGACTGATTACAGAAGCAGAGACACAAATTAGTTGAATAAAACGTGATACCGGCCAGGTTAAGGCAGACTGTTTTCTAAATAGCACACTTTGCATGCAGACAGTTATTCACAGTGGTGAACATGAAGAGCGAATTATCCTCTCACATGTAAATTTCGTTACAAACTTTGGATTTCTGAAGCTTTCTACAGAAATGCATAGCAGGTAATTTCGTGATAATGTCCTCCATCATACTGCTTTTGATACTGAATACAGCTGACTATACTAAGGCCTTTAAAAATTTAACTATCACATTTCTACTCTTAGGTGTATTGGCCTTTTAGAGTATTTGTGCATCGAATTGATTTCTTTACCTCATCCTAAATTGACCCCTGTTGAGATAAATGTTAAATGCAATTCTGGAGTATTATTACCTCTAAAATCCTGGTCACTGATTTTGTCCTTCACGTTGAGAGAGAGGTAGATGGGCAGGGGATTCTGACCCTGATTTAATGCCTGCTGCTGATCTGTGAGCTTATGGGAGTCCTCCTGTTTGAAGAAAGACAGTAGCTGAGGAGAGTTAGATGACACAGAGAGCCTCCCACTTCATCTGAGCTTGAGCTCTGACAATGCAGTGCCTACCAGACTCCAACTAGGATGGTCCCCACTGGTTTAGTTGAGAGAGGTGCTGCGAACCCTTCCTCTGACCCTCCCCTGCCTCAGCACAAATAGTCTTAAATTGAGCTCATATACTGAAAAAAATCCAAGATTTCAATGGTAGGAAGCAAATGTTGTTATTCACATTATTTATTTCAGAAAAAAATATCTGGATATATTTGAAAAGCACTCCTGGCAGGAAATATTTATTTCAGAAAGAGTAACCCCTTCCCTGAGTGCCCAGAAAATCATCTTTTCTTCAGACCTGTGACCGAGCCAAGGCTCAGGCAGAGTTAATGTTTGGCAAGCCTTGACTCTTAGTGCTTCTGCTGTGGAGCATCTTGCATACTCAGGCAGGGTGGAAAGGGCAGGATGGTTTGGGGACAGTACCAAGGTTTGAGAGGATGCTGAGTTCAGATCCTCCTCAAAGGGGAGCTGCAGGTGCTCCTCCTCACTGGGGCAGCCCTTGGGAGGACAGCTGTGCCTCCCTTGGGCTGTGCTGGTCAGGGGACAGGGCTGTGGCAGCGTGGGGACACTCTCAGTTCCCTGCTGAGCCCACCCCAGGCAGTCCCTACTGCTGTGCTGTGCTCAGGCAGTAGAAATTTGGATGTGTGTGGGGTTAATCATATTACAGGGGGAGTGTTTCCTCTTTCTTAAGTAAAAACGGCCTGTTGTGAAGGAAATATACACAAATGCTAAAATAGACCCTGAACGTTGCCTTTTGGTGGAAATGTTTACGCGGTGACAAAATCCCATTAACATCTCAGAGATACTGTCTTTGGGATTGTGATTTTTCTTTGCCTTGTCACACTTGCAGCTCTTTTAGAAGAGCAGCAGGATATTAATTTAAATATTTATATGTGACTTCATTTAAAAGTTGTTTGTACTATAAATCTCCCATTATTTCTCTTAATTCCCACCCTTTCTGTACCAGGTGTGAAGTTAAGATCTGCATAATACATCTAACAAACACAAAGAATGATACTTCCAAGGCACAGGCTTTAGGCACCTATCTGAAAAAACAAAACCAAAAACAAACAAACAAGCAAAAAACCCCCTTTTCCATAAGGGTGATCAAACACTGGCATATGTTGCCCAGAGAAGTTGAGGCATATTCACCTGTAGAGACATTCAAAAGCTCATGGTTCAGGGCAGCCAGCTCTACCTGATTCTGCTTGAGCAAGGCTGTTGGACAAGACAACCTTCAGAGGTCCCTTCCAATCTCAATTATTTTTTGATTTACTGTCTGCCCTCACTGCTATATTCACTAAATATTAAAATCTTAAGGGAAAGGTGCTGCTATTGTACCTTTTCATGTAACATGGTTTCAATGATGAGTCCCCATAGATCTGTAAAACATATCTGATGCCCTTCCTGTTCTCTCCGGCACAACTCTTTCAAGTAGTATTTCAGACGATTGGGGGCAAAACAAGTAAAGAACTTATTTTTGAGCACATGTTTTCGGGCATCATTGAGTGTTTCCTTAAGATCCTTTTGGGACCAGTCAGGATCTTCATACAAGTTTGACATGGTCCTAAAAAAAAACAAAACCAAAAACAAACCACAGAAGAAAAAGTGTGAGTTCTGAAGCAAAGCTTTGAGAAGTTATGAGGGTTCATGTATCATGCCTTGATTTACCTTAAAAAGAACATGTGTGCATGGTACCATCCCCATATTTAATCAGGACTAAATTAACTCCAAATGTGGGCAAATACCCACTGAAGGAAACAAGAAAAAGCCACAGCAGAAAAAGAAAGCCCTTTCCTGATACTAAAGATGATACAACTCTTCAGATCACTTCTTGACGTCACATATAGAAAATTCCTATGAAGACTTTACTTATCTTGGTCTTACCATGTTGTGCCAGATAAACCAGTGATGTATGAGACACAATCCAAGACATTCAGTTCCTGTACACTGAGAAGGTGAGCGTACATAGCTGTCAGAGCTCTGGTTCCACCACCCGTTGTCATGATTGCCACCACAGGTACCTGTTCAACCCCAAAATACATGTATTTAGTGACATGGTCTGAGAAGGGAGAGAGACATCTTGATTAGAAAAGAGAAAGTTACAACAGCGATAAAACAATAAAGATTCTGCATGCCACCAGTCTGTACAGAGATTTAATAATGGGGCATAGAAAGAGTAAGAAATACTTCATGTTACCTTTTCCAAGCAGCTGTACATTAGGACATAAAAGCCATCATCTCAAACATCACATTTTCAGTGCTCTATGGCGAAACCAGTAACACAGACCAGCAAAAAACTAGAGGGAACGGTACCTCCTGCCATCTGAACCAGATTTTTAACAGATGCAATAGGCCAGAAAACAGGTGCTGTCTCACAGTTTCCAAGTGCATAACAATAATCTCTTACTGAAGTTTGCTAAAACCAATTTCTACTATTGTATAGTTATTTCACAGGCCATACTAGGTGTATCATGACTGATGGGTTTAAGAGCATAGATCAGTTCAGGTCCCCTGAGACCAGAAGCTGGTGACACCATCCCTTTTTAGAGTTGCTGGAGGGAAAGAGAAACCGTATTCACTCCACCTACCACTTATGTACGTACAATACTGGGTATGAAAGTGAGCTGCAAATGCTTCTTTCTGCGATAATACAGAAATCCAGGGTCTGATACTCTTAGAAGAAGGATTAATCCATAAATATTAATTGGCTCCATTATCAGTAAAGTTAGCTACCATGCATTGGGGTAAACTAATCTCTTGTGCAAATTATCAGGAGACTCTAGGGAGATTGTTCTCCAGGGAAGTGTGGGTGCCTCTACATCTGAGGGGAAGGAAATGGCCCATGGCTTAGTGCTGGCATTTAAAGGCAAGGTCTTGTGTGTGAAAGGTCCAGCTGTGCAAAAAAACCTGCTGAGCTCAGTTTAGGGCAAAATGAGGAGAATCTGTCATCTTTGCATCTGGGTTCAGGCCTCACACTGGCAGCTGTGGGAGTATAATTAAAAAAGAGAAACCTGACTTTTCCCTGCCTCGGACACTGTTATCATTCCCATTTGCCAAGCAAGCTCGCACTCTAACTGCAGCTGATGAAGCTAGACTGGCATCATGCTGTGCTCACACAATGGGTGCCTAAATACCAGCACAAAAGGCACGATAAAATAAAGTCCAGTTTGAACCGTGTGGGAAAGAAGCGGTTTAAATCTGACCAAGATGACTGTGAGGTCTAAAAGAAGCTTTGGCTTTGGTCCTGAGAGCACCTAGCCCTTCTCTGCATTATTGTGCAGACTGCTACTCAACACAAAACTAGATCCTGCAGCAAAAGGGCTGCAGGTTTTTATTAATGTTTTCTATGAGTACTCATTTCTTCCCTAGAATAGAGAAAAAAAGCCAGCCATATCTGGCACATGAAACTTTACACTGTTTCCAGGAAATGGGAATTGAACACAGATGCTACATTTTGACATTCAGCTGTGGAGAAGGCAGAGAATAATTATGCCTCAGACACCTCGTCCTCCTGCAAGTCCTCCTCCAGCTGGAGAATGTCCTTCAGAGCGGCTGCAACCACCTTCTTCCTCTTGCGAATGAAATCCTGTTCCTGGGCACACAGGTCGAACCCCAGGCGTATGTCTAGGTCTTCCTGGCTGGAACAGAGGATCAGGTATCTCACACCGTATTTATAGTCTAATTCAGCATTTTGATTGCTTCTACTGCATAAATAGACATGCCTTCACCATCAGGTCTGTGTAAAGCAAACCAGGAAGAGGTGGAATGTTTTAGTGTGTTCCTGGAGAACAACAGTACGTCTTCCTTTGGACTGGGAGGTTTGGGCTTTTTTTCCTCCTTGCTGAAGATGCCTGAAATTAAACATAGCTACAAGTAACAGAATTGTTCCCTTTCAAACGTAAAGCCAAAAGCCTGAAGAGGGCACTGTTTTAAAGGTGGCTTTTAAAAGTTACACAAACTTCCACTGATGCCTGCCAGTCGTGGACTGCAGTTCTGAAATTCAAGTTCAGCTGCTTATTTGTGGGGGGGTTGTATATAGTCATTTAGGGATATTTATAAGCACTACAGTTGCAGTTTGGAAGATGCTGTGAAAACATTTCCTAGGTGTGGTAAGGAAGAAGTTTTTAAATGACAGCTGTAAACTGTTTGTATATCTTATAGCATATTTACTGAAAATAAACAGCATGATAGAAGATGCACCTGCTTTTTTGTAAGGGAAGTTCTCTTCCCTTACAATATGTTACATGATGTACCATATTCTCCTTATAAATTTTACTAAGGCCTTAACCATATCTCAAAACACACAATGTGTTTCCTTGGTTTAGAAAAAAGCAATCATTTGGCTGAGTTAGTTTGCATTTAACTCTTTGAGTAGACATTAAAAAACAAATGCAGGTGCATTTATTATTTCAATTTGTTCATATCCTAGAGTGGCCAGGCACTCTGACTTTGGTCTTTTATTTTTTTTCTCTGACCTCGGGAAACAGAAAAGTTTCTTTCAATTAGTTTTGAAATGCTGCTTTTATTGAAAATCTGCATTTGACAATAATTTGTAGAGGTATCAGAGTGTCTACAGTGGTTCTTAACATATAATTTTGATTGCAGCAATATATCAATAGAAAACCAGTGTGTTCTTTATAAAACATTCTCTTAACTCATTGTATAGTCCCATTACATAAACTCATGGCCACTGAAAATCTCTGTATTGTGTACTGTGTCCATTTTATTTTATAGTCTGAAATGAGGATGAACCAGCATTCAGGACACAGGCAGTAACAAAGGGATTGGAACTTACAACTGTCCAAATTCAAAAAACCAAGGGGAAAAACACAGAAGGAAGAGAAATATCTTACCATTTTTTCACCTTAAAGTGCAAATCAAATTTTCTGTTCTGAAAATTAAAAGGGTAAAATTATTAGTATTGATGTTTTGTTTAAAACGGTGCTTTTACCCCACTCAGAGTGAGACATAGCTCATTTGGGTCATCCTACATCTACAAACTCTGAACCTCAGTAAACTGAGATTGGGAGATAGGCTCTCACCTCCCATTGTTTCATTAGTACCCAGAGATGCACACTGATTTAATAAATTAAGACTTTGGTATTATCATCTATCTCTCTGCTGTGAAACTCAGGTGTAGCTTGCTCTGGTACGACTTAGCGACACAAATCAATAGCATAAGATCTTCAGTGCTACACCTCACCTCCCTGGAAGGGCCCACCATTAAGCGTGGGTCTTGAAACTAAAGTCTCTCGCACAATGGCATGAGGTACAAGGGGAAGACAAACAGGCTGAGCACCCCGCAAGCGTGGCATGGGTTTGTCTCCCGTGGTAGTGTGCCAGGCTGCAGCCTCACCCCTCTGTCCTGGTGGCACCCAGTGAACTCCAGCCTGGCTAAGCACACAGAAGGAGCATGAGCAACAGCTTGGACATTTTTCTTCTTCCCTTTCTTCCCTGGATTTCTCCTTTTATTTTGCTCCAAATAATTTACTTCATTATGCATCACCCTAGATTCAAAGGAGGTTAGAAAACAACTGGCTCTGTATAAAGAGAGGTGGTCTTTGGTTTCTGCTTCTCGGGAAGCAGCAACAATTTTTACAAGCTTGCGAAGGATTCCCCATGGCCAGTAGATGCTTACCTCGCCAACTACTTCTTGCTCGGAGGGGAGCGACTTCAGAGGGAAGGTCAGGGGGATGCTTCTCCTTGCTCCACATGACACACAAGCACACTGAAAAGAAGCACGGAGTGCCTTTTGGTTAAGACAGAAATGTTCTCCTCTCGCTGCCTACTCACACGTAAAGATCAGATCATAGGACTGTCTGTGTTGTCCACCATGTTCTGGGGTAACGTACAAAGGTGGGAAGCCTCCTCTTCTTTGTGAGGGCAACATCCAAGGACGGTTGCTTGTATTTGGCATAGTGGAAGAAAGTGGGATCTGGGAGAGGGGAGCAGGAGTCACAGCCCACTGAAACTCTCTGGGTTTCTTCAAAGGATCCTCTCACTGTAAATGTTAGCTCATTCTCTAAAACAATGAGATAAAATGCACACAAAATGTGACTTCTAATCGTAAAAAAAGAGAGCAAGGGAAAGAAAATAAGCAAAAGGTAGCTTTGAACAAACCCCTTCTCCTCTTCCTTTGTATTTGGAAAGCTGTCTTCTGAAAGTGATCCAAGACCCAAACATTACAGGTGGTTGTATCTTTATAATAGGCCGAGCAAGAAGCCAGATGGGAGTGTGAAGTGAATGACGCTGAATTTGACTGCTGCATTTCTATTGCAGTTGCATCATGACACAGCAAATGCAACCAAGTACTTTGCATTGTAAATCATCCTCATCCCAGGCCAAATAACGAGCAACAAAAGTTCTCAGTCCCCTAAAATAAGATCTGACTCTGCAGCAGATGACCCTATTTATACAAAGAGATCAGCTAATATTGCCGGTGTGTGTTATGCGTGCTCTGAGGTTGCCTACCAGATCCAGCCCCTCAGGGGATGTGGGCAGAGGAACTTCTAGATTCTGGATCTTGATCAGGGTCAGGCGGGAGCCAGCTGCTGAGTGGCTAACCCCTGCAAAAAATGAGGTGTTTCTGTGCGTATGCAGAAGTCAAACTGTTAGAGATCCTGAGGAAAGTTAAGGCCATGGAGGACTATTGTGCCTAAGGAAGTAAGCTTCTTCGGGGTTTAGCAGTATTACAGCAGAGGTTTTCAGGATCTCAGCTTGGGGTTTAGAAACATTCTGTACAAGCATCTGATGTTGTTTCTAGTCTGGCACAAGGCTCCCTGTGAAGTCAAAACCCTGAACTCACACCTGCTGCAGAACTGGTAGAGATCCCTACTGCAAAGCTTTTACAAATCACCTTAGATATGGTCAATTAAAGCCTTAATATTTGGATGACGCAATTTCTAGGCATTAATAGAGAGGGTAAAATCACTAATACTCCATTAAATAAAATAAGCTTACCCAAAAAATGCTTGTTTTTCTTCCTGCTGTTCATGTGAACTTCCAAGCAGGCTACTTCACGACACTGGAATAGATGTGATGGGGACAGAGAATCAGATTACTCACCCAGCCATCTCCCCACCGGTGCTGGCAGATGTTGGAAGGGTCATTGTAGGAAGGGTCATGGCTTGAATGTGGGGGCCAACTGTGTTGGACACCTCTGCCAAATCCAGTGAAAGTGAGAATTAACTTCATCGTCAAGTGGGAAGATGGTGCTATGCTAAACACATTGTAATTTTCAGTGGATGCAGACAAGAGAAAATGATAGCAGTCTGAAGGCTCTTCTGAGGTCATGCTGGCCTCCTCTAAGATAAAGCTCCTAAGAGAAAAAGTATCACTAAAGAATGAAGACTTGTATTGTTTCCCTCACAGCTATCACAGTCAGCTAAGGAGCGATATGGGAAAGAACATATGAAAAAACAAATAATATTTTACCACTATCGCCCCATTTGTGATGATGGTTTCAGCAGGACCCCAGCTACAAAACAAGAACAAACAATATGTATTTTATAAACAATAAACAAGACACATTTTTCTCTCTTAATTTTTTTTCTATTTCCTCCTTCTTGTTTGTAGAAGTATGCTCCCTTTTCACTGGATGTCACATAACTACCTAGCAGAAATGATTCAACTGCAATAAGGCACCTGGAAAGTGCTTGTAACAGCCTTAATAGCACACGTATGTCCCAGGTAGGGTAGCAACATTCTTCTCAGCCATGAGCTGGCCAGAGAATGCTCTCCAGAAAATCTATAGACTTACTGCAGTGGGATTTACCAGTTCCAGAAACCCAATTCTGAACTATGTGAGTAATATATACATTTTAAGAGGAAGTCACAGAATTAAAAATTCTGAACTCATTCTCCACATTGTGGCATTTTCTTTTCTTACAATGATTTTCTGATGCACACATTAAGTTTGGAAAATGAGTGAATCTGACTATTAAGATGATACTGGGTGTACATGAGCTTTCCCTGCACTGATGCAACAATCCAAGCTGCTGCTCTATAATAATAATGGGGTTTTACTCACATTCTCTCCAATACAAACTCAACTTCCAGCTCCTCCCTCCTCTGAAAATACAAAAAAAAAACAAAAAAAAAGCAGTCTCAATTAACATGTGCAGAGGTTTGCAAAGTGACCTTAATTTTTGCAGGCAGTTTCCTTTATGCTTTAATAAGTAACAATATTCTGTTTTGTGCTTGCTATTGTCATCATTAAATGACAGAGTCAGCTTTTTCTTCCCCAAGGAAAAGAAGATCTCAATTGTACTATCAGAATAAAGAGTATTTGGTGCTTACCAGTCTCCCTACTAAACCTTTATTTTTCACACTTTCTTCCCTGCCAGCTTCTATGTGCTGAACACGATATGCTGAAACTTAGCATTTAGTAAAATGTTGTCAAAACAAGCCATTTCCCTGTCCTTGCATTGTTTTTCTTTTTATAATCTGTGTGAGGTTTAGATAAACTCTGTCATTTTCTGTCAGATTATTAAAGGTACAAAGCTTCCCTAAAATTGCATCTGCACAGGGGCTTGGGGATTTGGCCACAATCTGTGCCAGAGAAAGCCAGCTGGAATTTGAGAAGGCTGTCTGTTTTGTCACTAGTGTGCAGTTTCCAAGGTGTTAATAAATTTGTTATATTTTTACTACCAAACTGGTCCTGATGGTAAAAGACAGCAGAGACAGCACACCGCGCTAATCAGAGGGGATAAAATAGATGTCACGATGTACTAAACGTCTGACCAAGCTCTTACCTGTGGATTTAGTGGGAATGTCGTAAACACTCTTTCCCCAAGGGGGATCTTAGCTACATCAAAAAGCACAATTGCATGGTCATCATCATGAATGATGTCATCATCACAAACAGTAATTTCCAGAATATTCTGGAGAAAGAAATAAAAAATATCCAATTCATTAATGTACTCAAGAAGTATGTCATTCTGCAGCTCTTCCAGGTTCAGTGCCTGCTTTACAGAGAAGAAACAGAAAAGTATTGATGACAAACAAGGAAAGAAAGCAAGTGTAATCCTCTTTATAATAAACAGCTTCTAGACCTGTCAATTAAGGCCAAACTGAGATTTCTCTTGCGTCGCCTTTCATGCCTGTAAGTAGCTCTCACCAAAAATGTGATCTTTTAGGAAGTAATATGTATAGCCACATATCAATAACCACTTTTCTGTGTTCTTGGGCTTTCCCCTTTCAGCCACCTGTTCACAGGTATTTAGGTGTAGTGTAATTAGCAGTACCAAACTGAATAAAGATCTTAATTATAATAGAATTTAGCAGCTTCCTGGCATTGATATACAATTATTACAAGTCCTTTCAGGGAAGGATGTGATTTTCTGTTATAATGCTGCTTTTTAGTTTTATTTTGTTGTTTCTCTGTGTTGTCACTCTGACATTGGTCTCATCAGCCTTCTGCAGGGAGGTCAGGCTCACATTACTGATATATAAATAATAAGAACTTGTTAGGAGAGAAGTGGATTCCAGCAATAGCCAAAAATATTTCACTCCAGATTGCTAGGGGAATTTTAAGTAAACTCAGAAAGGCATTAGAAGACATGACTTTCTATTTTAGGCTAAACTGAAAGAAACTGCACAAAGCTGAGATGAAAAAGAGAGTTTTTGGCTTGCATACCTTGACTTGTTTCTGTATCCGGAAGTAGAAAGTTTCATTCCACACTGGATTTCTGCAGTTTTTGATGGTTTTGGTGTGGAATTTTTCATCTGAAGCAGTTGGCAACCAGAGGCTCACGTAGCAATCAGGTTGGCTTACTATAGGAACATAGGCACAAACCATATGTAACGGTGGAACCACAACAAAAAAAGTGGAGACACTGAAATGCCCTGTAGCTTGAACATGGGTAGGAAATGGTCAGTTCTTTCAAATATACATGAGCCAAACCAGGAAGACAGAAATCATACAGATTGATGAAATTAATTTGTTGTTCAACACAACACTATTTTAATAAGCAGAGTATTTGAATGACTATGCACAATCCTACACATTTTTAAAAATATAGCCCTAGCCAGTGGATAGAACAATACAAATAGCCAGGAGCCTTATATTGCTCCTTATCAACATCGTTTCAGCTCTCTGGGAATTTGACAGGAGGAGAAACTGCAACTGATGCAGCAGAGAGCGAGCCTCAGGCCCTGAAAGGAACTGGGTGCAAAAAGTTTCTGTATCAAGAGTGGCCATTGTCTCATCCAGCCAGAGACCAGAGGGCACCAGCACTGGGTGGTCCAGGCTGGCACTAGGACTGAGCAAAGAGAAATGGCTTTCAGGTGAAGGAGAGAAACAAGAGGAGAAGCAGGTACCAGTCCCAGTAAAGGAAGCAGCTGGGAAGGCTGTATGGGCTCATGTACCTAACAGGAGCAAACTTAATCCCAGCTTTTCCTAGCTTTACCTACCTTGCTTTGTAACTGTCAGGATTTTGTGCAAGTATAACATTTTGACATGCTATGTTTATTTGTAGAGAAAAGCATGAACAAGATGAGAACATGATCTAGAAAACTAACTTTCTTAATCCTCACCTTTTGTCTGCAATTTATCTTTGTGGGAAATCTTAAACAAATTGGGTCTGAGTCTGATTCAGACAATAAATATCTGGCATACCTGGTTATTAACCCTTCATGATGGAAAATTAATTATTCCATGTACCTATTGTCTTCTTAGGTGGGATAAGAAGGGAGAGTCTTACTAGCAGTACAATTGCTTCTTCAGGAGGTCAGTAGGTGGGTGGAGAATTTTCTTGGTGTTTGCCAATGTCTGAAAGACCTGGAAGCTATTTTGTACTCCACATCTCTTCCCAGGAACAATGAAGTGTCAGAAAGCGTGTGGATCTTGTGGATGAAGGAAGTGAGCCTGCATTTACTATAAGGGATCCGCTCCCATAGGTCATGAGCCAAACAAACACCAAAGAGACTCTCAGACTTTGAACAGGAACTTTTCCAGAGGCTACTGAAAGGGCTGATCCGTCCTGTTGTGTAAACACAGGCTTTGGTGAGAAAAGAAAAGGGGAGAAGTCTGGTCCCGTGGCAATTGATAGAGATAACTACCCCACGAACAGAGACTAACACCTTCTACCTGTGAATACGGGGTAAGTCTTGAGTCAGTTCCTCAAGGTTAAAAGAGTCTGCCCTGTTGTCTTTCCACAGCATATTGGGTATATTGCTTTGGGATATTTTGCCTAAGTATAAGATGTTGCTTGAAATCCAGTGGCCCTGTGACTGGGACATCCCCAAAGAAGGATGACTGTCAGGCAGGGAGGTTCTCATGTAGCTCTTCACACTGAATCTGGAGGAATTTCTTGACACTGATGAGAGTTTTCCTTTACTAAGAATATAGGTTGCCTTTCTGTCTGAAATTATTTCCACAGGCAACATTTCAGCATCTCAGACTTTTACATAATAGAAGTGATAGGATAATATATTGACTTTGGCAATTAGCAGTGTAATATTCAATTTACAACACGTGGTAGGGCTGTGATTACTGATCTATCTGATAATTAAAACATCTCCCCTCACTGTGCTGTCTGATGGCCTGCCAAGCTGTGACATACTCATCCTGATAAGTGGTGTTGCTGCCTCTGATCTAGAGTTTCTCAAGGGCACATAGGAAGCCTGTACAAAAGCCAAGAACCAAACATGGCTTCAGGCCATCTAGACCATCCCTCCTCTCATTAGCCCACTTATCACTGCTGATCTCGTGTATTCCAAAAACATGAGTCCAGCATCCCCAAAACTGACAAAGTGGCTGAGATGGAATGTCCTTCAGAAATGTTAAACTCACCTGAGACATAATTTCTTTTTGGTTTCTGGCCATCATAGGGTACAGGAAGGACACGTTTATATATTTTTGCTGTAGTTGCAAAGGCCAATTCTTTTATTTTCCTTCTTCTTAATGAAAACCAAAATGCTCTATCCTTTTTTTAAATTCCAGCTTTCAACCAGAGAGTGTATAAAACAAGACTGTGAAAGCTGGCAGTGCTAAAACTCTGAGCCAAGCATGAATGAACAGCCGCAGCATTTATGAATGTCCTTTGCCACTGTTTTATCTGGAATTTACTGATTTGCTGGAATGTTTTCTTTGGCAAAACATTTTCATGAGGCTGTTTTCTAAACTTATTTTCCCATATGTGTGTTGCTTTCATAAATTTTTATTTAAAATAAGCTATTGACAATTCTTTGTCAAACTGATGAAGCACAGGCTAGATAAATGGACAGTGAGGTGCATTAAAAACTGGCTGAACTGCCAGACTCAAAAGATTGTGACCAAGAGCACAAATTCCAGCTGGATGCCAGTCACTACTGGCGTACCCCCAAGGGCTAATACTGGGGCCGATGCTGCTTAACATCTTTATTAACAATGTGGGTGATGGGACAGAGTGCACCTTTAGTAAGTTTGCAGATGGTACAAAACTGGGAGAAGTGTTTGACACACCAGATGACTGCACTGTCATTCAGAGGGACCTGGACAGGCTGGAGAACTGGGCCAACATGAACCTCATGAAGTTCAGCAAGGGAAATGCAAAGTCCTGCACATGAGGAGGAATAACCTCATGCACCAGGACAAGCTGGGGGCTGACTGGCTGGAAAGAAGCTCTGCAGAGAAGGACCTGTGCATTTTGGTGTCGACCAGGTTGAATATGAGCCAGAAATGTGCCCACGTGGCAAACAAGGCCAACAGCCTCCTGGGCTGCGTTAGGAGGAGTGTTGCCAATAAGTGAAGGGTGACCCTTCCTCTCTACTCAGCCCTGTCGAGGCCACAATTCTAGGTTCCCCAGTACAAGAGAGGTAAGGACATACTGGAGTGAGGCTAGCAAAAGTCCACAAAGAAGATGGGAGGTTTGGAGTATCTGTCATACGGGGAGAAGCTGAGAGAGCTGGGACTCTTCAGCCTGGAGCAGAGAAGGCTCAGGGGGTTCTTATCAGTGTATGTAAATACCTGATTGGGGATATGGAAGAGGGAAATAAAGAAGTCAAAATCAGACTCTTCTCAGTGGTGGACAGTGAAAGGTTATAGGCAATGGATACAAACCCAAATACAGGAAAACCCATTTAAACATAAGAAAAAACCTTTTTTTTACCACAAGGACCATCAAACACTGGCACAGATTTCCCAGCAAGGTTGTGAAGTCTCTATCCTTGGAAATGTTCAAAACCTGACGACATGGCTTTGAGCAACCTGCTGTAGCTGACCCTACTTTGAGCAGGGAGCTGGATTAGATGGTCTCCAGAGGTGCCTTCATGCCTCAGCCACTCTGTGTGCTTCTGCAATATCAAGGCTAGTTGGTCACAGACAAATTACATATAATTGTTAGTAACTACTGAGTGTAAATTTGACCTTGAAGATGAGGTGAGGTGAAACCACTAGGACAAAGCACGTCCTTTTCCTGTGGAGAAACAAAAAGGTATATGCCATACGTGTTTGTGCCACAATTCATCTACAGTCACTACTGATGAGCAGAGGTTATTGTTTCCCATGAAATTCCTGTGATTTTCTATATTTTCCTTGAACTGTACAGACAGTATCAGCTATTCCCCATGCTATGATTTTAACTGAGCTTATGTATTTCTGTAGAAGCAGCAGTTCACTTGAGGCCAGAATAAGCTGTGAGGGTAACAGGGGGGCAAATAAAAAATAACAGGGTAGTTGGATGCCTGATGAATACTGTGAAAACTATGATACCCTTGAAATGACTAACCAGCTTTTTCTGCTCCCACTTATCCCTGAAAAAAGTGTACAAGAGAGATAGTAAAACTCTTCCAGTTTCTTCATTGCTATCTGGGAGCTAATACAAAAAAAAGAAATATTTGAATTTTCCTCATTCTCTAATTTTAATGCAATTGCTAGGCATCATTAGCAATTTCATGACATGCTAGGCCCTTACTTCAGTGCACGTGTTGCAAATTCATTCCCTGATGACATAATGTCACGCTAAGTGGATGCTGAGACATCTGAACTCACAGCCTTTTTAGAAGGCAGCACTAAGTAACTCTGATATTCTTTCCCAATTTTTAACTTCTGATTCAATTGCATTTGTGTGTTGATGGGACTATTTCTCATCCCTGTCTTCAAGCTAAAGATGGGCTAAAAATTAAGGACTGAATCAAGAAGTTCAGAACTGCACCCAGCTGTTTGCTGCTCTTTGAGAGTACAGTCCTGTGATACGTTCCCGAAATGAACCATCACATGCTAAAACTATTCACCTCCGTCACAAGTAAGAAGAAAATTACAGCATGGAAAAACAAAGCATATAAGAAAAAATAGTCTAAGAACAATGAATGTAAACTATAAAATCCCATCTGTCCTGTTACTGCCTTTCATAACACTGAAAAGAAAAAATCGTTTTCTCCTAGTGAACTCCTCTCTACCTGCACAGACAGGTTCCCCTTGAATCCTAGTTTACTACAGTTCACCTAAAAGGAGGAGGAGAGCCGCTCCCATTTCTCAATCATTGGACATGGTCTCCAGGGACATTTTCCCTCACCAGCATAGTATGATGCAAACAATATTAAGAAGTTACCTCTGGTTGCTATCTATCTGAGAGCCGACTTGAACTGAACTTTGTCCTCTACAAGTATCCAGATGCAACACTTGTCTGTAAACATCATGTTACTCTCTATAGCTTGCTTGTGGAAATAACAAAAGTTCATAGATCTACTGTTCTTAATCAGCAGTGTCCTCTACCAGGGATGGACAGGGTCCCTGTGTGAATGTGCCCTTCACCCTGTCCAGCTATTTACGTTGACTGGCAAAGTAGGTTTTT